CTCTAAGCAGGTGCATCGTGCTTATCAACCAAGAATGCCGTAGTGCCCTAAAAGGTGCAAATGTGGACATCCAACGCCCACAAATAACCGCATGCCACATTGATGCTGATTCTCTTATGATTTCAGTTACAAAGTACAACTGATATGAGGCAGCTGCAGTGCTGCATAGATATATGAATACATTCATGCTGCCGTGAGTAGTTGCTGGCACGACGCCAACAGGAAACTCGTCCAAATTTGCTTCTTGTAAGGCCGCGTGCTCGTCCAAAGTCGTGTGGAGAGAACGCTTTTTCCCCGTATTTTGACCGTTTCACTTCGCTATTTCGTCTTTCTCCCATTTTCTAGTACCCCCTGCTACTATTTTGGACAAAGTTCAGTCACATCGGCGAATAGGATTCTCTCATTCATAGAAGCGTTTTTATGAAAGAGAAGAAAGTGCACAGATAGAGCGTAACTGACGACAGAAAAGGACCGACTGTTCTACCCAAGAGACTAGAACAAATATCTCTGCGATTTTCAACAATAATCTCGTAGGGCAGTTGCGGTGGACTCACATGTGACGAAGTAATTTCAGCTGGCCACCCCAGCTCTCCTCTGTACACTTCATCATAAACAATAACAATAAACAACAGCATCAACATCTCGAACAACAAACTGTACAGATTAAAATGAAGTGGTAACATTATCTTCACAGTCACATCCACCACCGCAGCTTGTTTTGAGGTTTTCCTCGTCAACAACAGAGATTTTCTTCGTCTTCTAAATTGTACTATTTTTAGAGGCAAATTGATCTATAAAACACTATTTCACTACTGACAGACAATTTTAACAGGACTTTGTGACAAAACTTACTTTCTTAATGCCCATACCAGTTTGTCCAGTGTTCAAACCCTCCAACAACAAACATGCTTTGCACAGAGATTGACTCGAAATATACCCACACCTAAAACTGGTTCATCAGTCAATATAGAAAGCCTGGAAGATTTCTGCTTTTCGCAGCAAGGCGCGATGCGAGTGCCATCTAGGGCATGTAGTCCTTAAGGCCCCAAGCGGCGGGAGTCGTAATTCTTTGCTAGGGTGAGGGGGGGGATTGTAGAGGTCGTATCTGCCTTTGAGAAAACATTTCCTATGAATTCTGGGTTTTCCTGTCCCAATCGCCATATATGCCCTCCCTCTCGACGGCAGATCCTCTTTGAAGACAAGTGGCGCAATTTTCGGAAAAAAAACCTGTGGTTGGAAGTTGGGAAAAATTCAGGAAGATGCTAGGCAGGGTGAGGAAGAAAGATGAGGAGCACAGCAGGGAATTTTGAGGTTGAGGGGGGGGGCGTATTTTGCGGAAATGTCTCCCACCTGCAAGATTTGCAGTGGTGCCACTACAAGACTGCAAAGCTTGACAGCGAAGCGCTTTACCTCTGGATTCGCGTCAAAAGTTATTTGTGGCTTCCGATCGAGGCAAAGCGATCGGTGCTGTCGCGGATCGCGAGGATCGCTCCCGAGGGAAATCCCTCAGGGTGCGCCGGTGCTCACGTGTAACCGTCGCCATGACCAACTATGATCTATCCGTGATCGCACTGCGGCGCCTATAAAAGGGCACCATCACGGCCTCCCGGGTTAGTTCATCATCTATCTAGCTACGAAGCGGTTGTCTTGCGACTATTCCATATTCGGCAACGGACACGTGGCCTCGGCCCTTAGAACTGCTATCCTTTATGACTTCTATCAAATTCCTCCTTGGTCGACTAGCAGGCTACGAGCGGTGGCCCGACGTGAGTTATGTTTCTAACGTGTTATCTTATCCTCCAGTTATTCCATTGTTTATCGTTGAGTTACTAACACTTACATCCTATCCTACATACTTCAGAGACATAAATAGATTAGTCCTCTTTTGTACCTGGTATAATGGTATAACCGTTTGTTACTTCATTGTGATGTACAGAGTGGATTGCGGGGAAAGTAGTCTCTAAGTAGTTAGACGTCAATAGGTGCGACAGGTTACGTACGATACTGGCCAGGTCGGACGTAGCGACCTGCTCCGGAGTAGCGACATTAGGTTCACACGACCCTGCGGTCTGACCTCTGTGTGATGTGGCCCACAGGCGGTAACACGTATATCGCAACAGGTGCATCATTCATGGTCAGTAATCTTATAAAAACGTAGGGTATAAACTGACCTAGTGCAGTTGATCAACGTCGGCATAGCTACTTCTGTTTTTACAATGACCGATTCCCCCGATTTGATTAAAGCTAGAATGCTTTCCGGTCGCATTCGTTCAAGATCTTTGATAAACGTTCTGTAAAAGGTAAGGATAGTTTCAAAGAAAGGAAAACAGTTCTAAGAAGGTCAACCTGGAGTATGCGCGGTACGAATCTGGAGCATAAACGCATTCCGTATAGAAGTAATCCAACTTGTTTAATCGTGCGTACATGACAATATCCTTCTCGAAGCAGTACTAAAGCGATTAGGTTGAAAACAAGCTGTGCAATCACCCCAAAGATCCTGCTCATTGCTAGATGTGAGGTAATTGAGGAAGCAGTTGGGCTTGCCACCTTCTACGGTCAGAAGTAGACGAGCACGGGATTGGAGGGTAGTGGTGCCAGGATGCCTCTCCATACTCCGTCCCGCAACCCAGCACGTGCGTCGATACAAAGGTCCGTGACAGCGTGAGCAGAGTATGGAGACGGTTTCGGGTATCACTCCACACAGCCCCATTCACGTCCGCTTTTGACCGGAATAAGTGGCACGCTGCTACAGCTGAAGAGTGCCATTCAGGATTCGAACCTCTGACGTATCCGTCAAATCCTTTTTTTACTTGTTAGAGTTTTCGACTGCACACTGATGTGGAGATGGAAAAATATGTCTCTATGCTGATAGAAATCTCAATGGAGCCTTGTACGATCTATGTCCTAGGAGAAGCCGTTTAACTCTGCAACTTACCTTCAGCGGTTTTGCTCGGGGAAGTTCACCATCTTCACCAGTGAGCGCGCTGGTGCAACGTTGGAGCCGGGCAACATCTCCACGGAGTACGTTCATCAGTACAGTTTCCGCCATATCATCTGCGTTGTGACCGGTCACCAATTTGGATGCACCCACTTTGTGTGCGCCCCTAGAGCAGAAAGTTATGAAAACTTGAAAGTAAAGCGTTCATTGCAGACCTCACCGGTCCAGTGCTTGTCGACGAAAGACACCACAAAACGTGCAGTTGTTTTTCTTCCCTATCTTCGCTACGATTTCGTCCATTGTCCAGCCATAGAGATCTTTGTAGGTAATTATGGTTAACGGCATACAATATTCAACGCGATTCCTCTGCACAGCCTGAAACTGAGTATTTTTGAACAAAATTGAGGCAGTCTATGGTTCTTACGCTAAATATCAGGTGATCTCATTCAAAATGCGAAGACATATAGAGGAGTTGCAGGAAAGAAAAGTGGCTAGGGTCGTAGGGCACTATACTGCATGGAAGCTAGTACACATACCTGCACATCAAAATTAGCGAACATGGCCACAACAAAAGAGCTTGAGAAACTGAAAAGAAGCCTGAGCGATCGAGAAAACGCAGAATTATCATTCTGGTACCACGGAGAGGAAGTCCGCTCCGCTGTTCGAATTAATGTCGCGTAGAATGATGTTGTTGAAACGGAAGCGGAAGAATGATTGTGAAAGTTCGAAAAAAGAAGTTCACTTAAGACCAAAATATTATTATCAAGCGTTTTCTTGAGGCGGAGTTGGTGTAGTGGCCATTGGACGCTTAGCAAGCGCGCAGTGCGGAGATCAAATCTCGGGTCGGCTCTCGCCCAGCCCAACCAGGCCTCTTACTTTCCAGGGACAGTGAACTGGTACACATTGGTAAATTTGCCAGATTCGTCTGCGAGGACAAGCACTGAACTGGACATCGGCGACCCTTGCCATTCATTGTATAGGCCCACATCGCATTCAATAGGGTATGTGACAAGAGAATCGTAATTCGCCGCGCTGGTGGGCGTCGCGTGCGACGTCGCGCCCGCAAATGACGATGGTTCCAGGTAGTAGATGGCGACAACAGGCAATTCAGAACCGAAAATAGTCATGAATGTCTACGATGACGGGGTCTACATGAAGTCCGGTGCTCCAATCGACAGGTTAACACGAGTTAGAAAACGCCGCGCCCATCGCCGCGTGCGCGGAGCGACAAGTTACGATTTTCTTGCTCGTCTCCCGTATCATTTGGATGAACCTTCCACTTTTTTCGAATGAGATGACATAATAAATACATTTGGTGGAAAGGTAATGAACGCCCACCTCCAAAGAATCATCACGATATCCCTTGATCCCTTCATCGATAGATACTAAAACCAAATCCAACCCGTAGTCGTATCGTTCATTGAGCGTCTAAATACTTATTATGTGCAGTTTCAGTGTTAAACTAAACAACCGAAAAAGATGAAACTATTGTTAAGTTGACAGAACCAGCCAAAGAAGCCGAACTTACTTTCATAACATAAGCTAGTACAGTTGAATCCTTGCCTCCGGACGCACCAATGGCTACACGTTCCCCTCGGTGAAACAGATTTGCAGAAGTAATAGTTTTGTGAACTTCCTAAAAAACATCCGATCTCAAAGAACAGTGTAACCATTTATCAAAGCAAGTAAGCGCAAAATGTGGAAAAGCATCTTGGGCGATTCGTGGCTACTATAGACTACTGTCTCCATATGAATTAAATTACAGCGGACAACTTCGCAATCGGACCGACCGGTTCCAACAAGGACTGAACGAGCCCACCCGGTGGCCTTTCCATTACTAACTGTTTCCTTACTGAAACGATCACTCAGCGATCTTTATTGGTGCAACAAGGCAGCCGAGGGTGAGCTCATTCCGCTCTCCCCCTTCCACCCCGCCCCCGCCCTGTCTGACTGAGATGTAATGAACTAAAGTCCTGGTGGGAGAGCCGCGAAAAGGACACCATCTGTAAAGCAGGTATTTGCCTCATTATGACACCAGCGAGGATATTGCTGGTTTTGAAAGCGAACACTGTCTAAGGAGTTAAAAAGGTTATTTAATTGAGGCTCATCCCTGCGCTAACCTGAGTGGGAGAACGCGTTTCACAAGGACTTTATAATGTCAGTTACCTCCTCGAATCCCCTACTGAAACATGGAGCACAAAGAGGTGCGTCATCTAGTGCCCGTTTCACGGCAACATTCCTTGTACAATTGTCTGAACTGCACTGCAGAGGCATTCACTGAAAATAATCGTGCATAATAAACCGATAAATAACCTATACTGGTAGACAAAATCAGAACTTATTAGGCTGCGTCGTACTTTTCATTGGGTTTTGATAGCAAAGGGAAATATAGATATCGATATAGTGTTTCGCTCAGAACACTAGCGCTTCTTTCAAAACGCTCGAAAGGTATGAACGCAGCTTCAGTAAGTTCGCTGGGTTACAAGAAAACTGCAGTGGGCGTGCCACTAGAAAATCGATAATATACCGCGCTGGTGGGCGTGACGCGCGACGCCCCAGTCAACAGACGGACCTGTCTGGCCATGCAAATCGGAGGGGAGCCGGTCGTTTGGCGCAATCACATTGCCGTTTACGTGTTTTGGCAGGTAATGGTGGGTCTACCAATGTGGGTAACTCGTCCGAATCGGCGATCTGCAAGGTTTTCGCAATTGATGGCCTAGATAAGGCTGTGAAAGTTGGCTCGGATGCTTAAGGGTTCCCAGCCAGGTTCCCAATGATTACTTATTATTAAGCAAGTGTCAATTAAAATATTGGACGAGTTGCCCTAGCCGGAAGACGGCTTAGCTTAACATGTTTTCGGTTTTTGGGCACGTCAGTGACAGAATGATCGCGCCAAACGACATACACCCGAATTCAAGCAAAGACAAGACTGCATGATTGTTGATATCGAATTTTCCCATCCCTTCGACACTCCGATTTGGGTGTGGGTGTATGTCGTTTGGCGCGATTCTTTTGTCGTCTACGCGTCAGAACATGTCAGGCAAACCGACTTCTAGGGGAAACAACTCGCCATAACCTCCAAACTAGTGTATATCCCCGAGTGATCATTAGAAGAAAAACTGTTTGAATAATGAGCACTATAGCCAAAAACAGGAGGGCTTTTGATAGGCTACAAATTACGAAAACCTTATAGTTCAGTGATTCGAACAAGTTATCCGGTAGGCATGTACCTGTCAGAACACGTAAACGGCAATGAAATCGCGCCAAACGACCGCCTCCCCTTGGATTCATTAGTTTCGTGGCTCCGCTCCAATCGACAAACTAGTGCGCACCGAAAACTTGCCGCGCACGGCCAGGCTTCACGCCGCGACGCGACAAATTACGGTTACCTTGCCCATTTTTCGAGAGAAAGCCGGAAGTCTTCTCGAGATCACCGCGAAAAAGAGGGGGCGTTTCGATCGTTCATGGATCGAAGGAGCACTATCCGTAAAAGTTGCCTTTCCGGCTGGTTGAAGTTATACCAACGATCCTAGCTATATCTTTAAACGCTAGTGTGACGCATTGCGTTTATTTCCGGTATAGCATACCTTTGCGCCTCGCTCGTCTTCCTTTGTCCTCTGTTCCGTCGCCCACACAGTACAGTCGAGCTTTTCCAAATTATCGTCCAATGCAAGGGCGTCTTCGATGATTTTGGACAGCTTTCCTTCAATGTTGAGTCAATTAGTACCTCCGAATTCGTATTTGAACTCGCAGTACACGACAAAGCAATACGGCTTCAGCTCTTTAAGCAATAAATCAGTTTTCAACTGAATGAAAAAAAAACTGGAGAATATACGCGAACTACCCATCGCGAGATTTATCGTACTCGGGTTTTTACTTTCCCATCGACTGCAGTTGATTTTCGCATCTGTTGCAGTTAATGAGAGATTTCTAACTTTTCCAACGATCGCTTTCACGATTCCTTCCCAAAACCCTCTTGTACGCGTGCTAGGCGTTCCAGGTGGGGCGGAGGTTCTACTGGGATTCACAATTCATGGCCTTGATATCAGGTTGGTTCCTGCTTCAACACGCTACAAACCATCAACTGTTGAGAGTGGACCGTTACTTTCCCAGTCACGGAATCGCAATACAAGTTGACCGGCGGGGGTATGCTACAGTCGGCGCGCAGCGCCGTTGCCATTTCGAGGCATTGCTCTCAATCTACGACCCGAAAAAATATCGCGAGAAGTGGGAGAACCGTCACTGCTCTGGTGAAACGTCAGTGTATCCAGCGCAAACGCAGAAAGGGCTAAATAATACGTGTCGCCATCGCTGGCCCCGCCCAAGGTATGAATTGGAAAGCGATCGAAGCGCCAGCTTCACCAGCCCAGTATGCAGATCCTTAACCTCTATGAGTATCAAAACCTTTTCGCGGATATGCCCCTTTCGACGATTCCGCATGGGCGCAAGTTGTGAGCAATGCCTGAGTTGGTTGTTTCCTGGCGCGGATGCAGTGTATGTCACACCGCTTGCGACTGCTATTTCGCCTGGGAAGTAGTTCGCTGAGGATGAAGGGGCGTGTCATTCAGAATGAGTGTGCCGCGGCGCCAAACCCGTTCTATGCCAGTTGTTGGAGGCTAATGCCGTTTGGACGCGATCACTTTCCGCTGTGGAGTATTTATGAAGTGCCTAGATCACCAAATCCGCTGAAAACTTGACAAGACTTATTCGAAATCCTGATCACGAATATGACATTCATTCTTGGCGCTGGCGCCAAAATGGAAGAGACCACGATTTTCTTTTGGGCTCAGTCTCAGCAGAGCGCAGATAATCGTGGTGTCCTCCATTAGCGCAAGCGCCACGGTGAATGTCGTGTCCGTAATCAGGATACTAAATAACCTCTGTATACAAGTTTTCAGCGGATTTGGTGATCTAGGCACATTTTAAATGACCCCACAGGGGAAAGTAATCGCGTTCAAACGGTATTAGCCGTTGTTGAAGCGGGTATGTCACAATAGTTGGTATAAAACGAGCTATATGAAAGATACTATACACTCTCGTCACTTGCTTGCTTGCTCGCTTCAACCACGGTTATAGAACGAATTCGACATCGCGCCATACTACGCCCGTGTGACACTCACACTCGTCACAGCTCCGCAGTGAACTAGACCATACTGACCACCCCAGCTGTGCAGGAGACGCGTAGCAACAGGCGCGGCTGAACTTACGTAACTGTTCGCAGTTTTTATCATAAGGAAAGCTTAAGTCTAGCTGAATAGCAGTGACTAAGCTCCCAAAGTGCTAAACAACAAACCTCTGAGCGAGGGGGATCAGCACGGGCTGCCCATGGAGGAGAGGAGGGGAGCCAGTTATTTAAATGTGAAAAGTTGAAAAATAGGAGGGTCACACTGCGCTGTGACGCCTATTAGGCAAAAATCACGTGGTATCGGTTAAGACAGCGCCCGTCGATGGACTTTGGGTCAGGTCTTCAGGCGGTCAATTCTGTGGATACAGGCTGGCCAATGAAGCAATTAATCAAAAAAAAGTAGGAAAAAGGTGTGGAAGAGCGTGAAATAAGACCCTACGAAATTTAAGGCATGTGGACGAGTTTCGCAGACCTTTGGTGAGTTCTCCAATACACGTCGCCGGCCTCGGAACTCCAGAAACTTAGCGTTTATCAATGCCAGCAAGCACTGATAACTGTTAACCAGTCGGGGCGGGATTAACAGGGAAGGAGGCGTCAGCTCAGCCTTGTTGACTCCGCCCTCGTCAACCAATCGATTTCGAGCCGCAAGAGTGGGATATCCGCTGTGGTTGCGTACTCCGCGTTCGTTTTCATTGGAGGGTTTTTTCACTTTGGTTGATCGCGGACGCTGCCTTTAAGTCTCACCATTTCGACTACACTCTAGTTCGCTGCGGACGGTTGGGCGTGTCAGGCAGTATGAGTGTGTCACCCCGTCAAAGCCGTTCTCTGCCTTCTTGTTGAAGCGCGCATGCGAAAAAAAGGAGTAATACGAACGATATGATGCAGTCATATCATTTTCTCGCTTTAACAACTGGTGGAAACGGGTTTGGCACCGCGCCAAACTCCCCGCCTGACACGCCCAACCGTCCGCAGCGAACTACACTATAAGCGCACTCTACCGCTAATCGTACCGTCGTAGAGGTCGGAAGAAGATATATTTTTAATATGGTTCAACCTTCTACGGCCAGAAAATCGGCGGTGGAATGCGGTCGCTGATCCACAGATCGCGGCATAAGGATAGAACGGAAACTATACAGCTGCCACAGAACGGGCGTGTCAAGCAGGATGGGTTCGGCGCGGCACGTTTTCCCCTCATTTGTTGAAGCAAGCAGGCAAAATACTGTATCATAGTGTATCAGTCGTTTTTCCCACCAACTGCTGTTGTTTACCCGCTTCAACAAGTGGTCAGAACGGGCTTGACACCACGTCGCCAGACACGCCTCTTCCCTCATCCGCAGCGGACAAGACTGTACCT